TCCTACATCAAACTGCGCAAGTTCCTCACAGTCCCTTTTCCTGAATTCTATACCCACATCCTCCTTTTCCAGAGTGATGACTGAAGAGAAGTATTCACGTAACACCCTTCAAATATCCTACAGGTACATACAAAAATTGCTCTCTTGGTTCCTAATGCGCCCTACACTTTCCCTCATTAACGTCTCCCTTTTAATATATTTATAAAATATTTCAGGATTCTCTTTAATCCTGTTTGCAAGGCCCACAACATGCCCCCTTTTTGCTCTTCTAATTGCTTTCTTAAGTCCCCTCTTGCACTTCCCATATTCCTCTAGGGCCACCACTGAATTCCTCCCTTTGGACTTGCTAGAAGCCTTTCTCTTCTTCCTCATCCATTCCTGAATTGCCCTAGACATGTAGGGTTCCTTGATCTTTCTGCTCCTTTATTTCCCCCTAAAGGGTGTATGTCAGATCTGTACTCTCCCCAGCTCCTTTTTTGAATGCTCCACAGTAGATTTAGCCACAAGGAGTTGTTCCCAACCAACTTTGGCCAGATCTTGCTTTATTTTAACAAAATCTGCCTTTCCCAAATCCAAAGCCATGTTTTGCAGGCCACTTTTCTCCTTGTCCATAATAAATTTGAATCATACCATGTTATGGTCACTATCGCTGAAATGGTCCCCCACTGCCACTTTGAAGCCAGACAAGTGTTCATTCCCCAGAACTAGATCTAGCACTGCGGCATCCCTTGTTGGGCCTTCTACTTATTGGCACAAAAAACTCCCCTGGATACATTTCACGAAATCCACCCACTCTGAACTCTTAACACGATGACTATCCCAATTAATGTTCAGAATGTTTAAACTCATTAATATAATTACTGGATTATTACTCTTACACACCTCTGTGAACATGCTTTCTACATGCTTTCTCTTCTATTTGTCGTTGACTCTTTGAGTGCCTATAATACACGCCCAGTAATGTGACTGGCCCCTTAACGTTCCTAAGTTCTACCCAAAAAGCTTCGTTTGAAGACCCTTCCAAGATGTCATCCCTCCTTCGCGCAGTAATTGACTTCTTGATTAATAGTGCTACTCCACTTACCTTTTTACACCCTCATCCTATACCCCAGAATGTTGAGTTGCCAGTCTTGCCCTTTCCTCAATATTTCTCTGATGGCAATAACATCACACTTCCATTTATTAATCCACACCTCTAATGCATCAGTCGGTGCGGACTTGTCAGGCTGAAGGGCCTGTTTCCACACTGTAGGGATTCTATGATTCTATGATCAGTTTTACCTATTACGCACTTAGTATTAAAGTAAAGACCAGCCAGCCTTGCCTTACTCTGTTGACACTCAACATAGATGAACTCATTCTGACTTGCTTCCATTGAGCTTAGTTCCACAGGACACAGCTTTTATGTATTCCTGCCCCAGATAATAAGCAGTGCACCTTCAAAGAAATAGCACAAAGAATGGAGAGCTAGGGTATTAAATATGTTTAATAATTTACTATAATTAATAAATGGAGCCAGAGGCAAAACTGAATAATAAGACAAGCACGAAAGATGTCTGAGGATGCTAAGAGATAGTAGGAACTGCAGATGCTGGAGAATCGGGACGTTTCGGGATGAAGGGTCTAGGCCCGAAACATCAGCCTTTCTGCTCCTATGATGCTGCTTGGCCTGCTGTGTTCATCCAGCTCTGCACCTTGTTGTCTCTGAGGATGCTAAGACTGGTTTACTTTGAATTAATCTGGCTTTTGTCTGTGTAAATGAGATCTGCAAGAACATTATATATTCTGGTCTTCCTACTCAGGACATAGTCATTCTTCCAAAAACTCTGAGAACACAAAATATTGAGGGCACTACGAGAAAAGATCCCATTATTACATGTTCCTGGATTCCCTTAGTTAGCAAGGGACTGACACATGCTGACAGTTTATATTCTGTCAGATTTCCTTCCTCAAATTAACTAATGGAACAGATATTGCAATGACAGCAATATACCATAGCCCATTGAAATAACCTGACACAGAATGATCAACTGAAACTGCCGACAGCACAATATTTAAAGTGTTAACTTGGACCTTGAAACTTGGCAGTAAACCTACATTCTGAGATCCGGCACAGCAATTTTCCACCAACCCTGACTCCAGGAACACTAAATTTACAATCTCCCCATCCCCAAGACCTGTTGCAGTAAACATTTAATTTCCCTAAAATATGACTACTTGGTCAGAATCTTCACCCATTCTTTCATCGAAAGCCATGCTGCACTAAACTTCCACCACCTCACCACTTCAAGAGATGTACCAAATCTCTAAAAACCCAAACTCTAAGAGCACATTCCTAAATCCCTACCAGCCTTAAATTTAATTCTCCGCCCACCCTCAAACCAAGCCTTATCACACAAATATTTTAATCAACCAACTCCAACAGGACATCTGAACTAAATCTCCACCTGTACCAAACTCTGAGACCATTTGCATTAAATATCCACATTCTCCAAAACCTGTCACTGAGAATTTCTGTTCTGTCTCAACCTAGGCAATCGGCAGTTAAAGAAGTACCTCTTTCTACCCATAACGGAACATGTAGGTTTTAATGAGGTGTAGATGAGGTCTTAAATGAATATTTTGTATCGGTATTCACCAAAGAGAAGGAATTAGTGGACGATGATATCAGGGAAAGCAGTGTCAAATCTCTAAGCCAAGTTGCTATTAAAAAGGAAGAGGTGTTGCGAATCTTAAAAAGTATTAAGATAAATAAGTCTCTGGGTCCTGATGGAATCTATCCCAGAACATTGAGCGAAGCAAGAGAACAAATTGCTGGAGAATTGATGGACATCTTTGTTTCCTCTTTGGCCACAGCTGAGGTCCCAGAAGACTGGGGAATAGCTAATGTTGTCCCATCGTTTAAGAAGGGTAGTAGGGATAATCCAGGAAATTACAGGCCTCTGAGCCTCATGTCAGTGATAGGGAAATTATTGGAAAAGATTCTCAGGGACAAGATCTATATGCATTTAGAAAGAAATGGACAGATTAGCAATAAACAGCATGATTTCATGCAGGGGAGGTTGTGCCTCACTAACTTGATCGAGTTTTTTGAGGAGGTGATGAAGATGATTGATGAGGGAGAAGAGATTGATGAGGGAGAAGTGGTTGATATTGTCTACGTGGACTTCAGTAAAGCCTTTGACAAGGTCCCTCATGGCAGACTGGTACAAAAGGTGAAGTCACATGGTATCAGGGATGAGTTGGCAAGATGGATACAGAACTGGCTTAGTCATAGGAGACAGAGGGTAACAGTGGAAGGATGCTTTTCGGAATGGACGGCTGAGAATGTGGTGTTCCACAGGGATCAGTGCTCGGACCTCTGCTGTTTGTGGTCTACATAAATGATTTGGAGGAAAACGTAGCTAGTCTAATTAGTAAGTTTGCAGAGGATTAGGGCAAAACGGTGGCTCAGTTGTTAGCACTGCTGCCTCACAGTACCAGGGATCTGGGTTCGATTCCACCCTCGGGTGACTGTCTGTGTGGAGTTTGCACATTCTCCCTGTGTCTGTGTGGGTTTCCTCCAGGTGCTCCGGTTTCCTCCCATAGTTCAAAGATGTGCAGGCTAGAGCATGGGCCATGCTAAATTGCCCATAGTGTTCAGGGATATGTAGCTTAGGTGGGTTATAGGGGGATGGGTCTGGGTGGGATGCTCCAAGGATTGGTGTGGACTTGCTGGGCCAAAGGGCCTGTTTCCACACTGTAGTGATTCTAAGAACCTATGAAGGATACAAAGATGGGTGGAGTTGTGGATAGAGATGAGGATTGTCAGATGATGCAGTAGGATATTGATCAGTTGGAGGCATAGGCAGAATAATGGCAGATGGAGTTTAATCAGTACAAATATGAGGTGATGCATTTTGGAAGGTCAACTACTGGTGGAAATTATACAGTGAATGGCAGACCCTTTGGAGTATGGTATGCAGAGTGATCTGGGTGTGCAGGTCCACAGATCACTGAAGGTGACAGTGCAAGTAGGTAAGACAGTAGAACAGCTTATAGCATGCTTGCCTTCATTGGAAGGTGCATTAAATGTAAGAATAGGCAAGCTATGCTGCAGCTTTATAGACCTTCAGTTAGGCCACACTTGGAATATTGCACACAGTTCTGGTCACCACACTACCAGAAGGATGTGATGCTTTGGAGAGGGTACAGAAAAGGTGTACCAGGATGTTGCCCAGTATGGGGGATTGGGGCTATGAAGAAAGGTTGGATAGATTGGGTTTGTTTTCACTGGAATGCAGGAGGTTGAGGGGCCACCTGACACCTAGGATTGTGAATGGTATGAGGCTTTTTCCCAGGATGGAGGTACAATTACTAGGGGACACAGGTTTAAGGTGTGAGGGGGCAAGTTTAAAAGAGACGTGCGATGTACGTTTTTCACACAAAGGGTGGTGAGTGCCTAGAATGCACTGCCAGTGGAGGTGGTGGAAACAAACACAATAGCAGCATTCAAGAAGCACGTGGATGAATACATGAATAGGAAGGGAATAGAAGGACACAGATCCTGTAAGTAAAGACAGTTTTAGTATGGAAGGGCAAAATGTGTTGGCGCAGGCTTGGAGGGCTGTAGGGCCTATCCCTGTGCTGTATTGTTCTTTGTTCTTTTGTTCTTCTTTGTTCTAATGTCAGCAGGACATTTATTTGCAGGATTTAGCACATGCAAGCCTGATTCTGTCATCGCCTTAGTATATTTGAATGTAGTAACTGCATCCAAAATTACAGTATAGCAAACAGAAAGGGGATTTGGTCTGATTTTAGTGATCTTTAATTAAGCATGCCGCAGATAACTGTAGCAACACAACTAACACATGGTTTTAGTCAGTTAAGGCCATTAATCATAGCCCCCATATTGGATATCTGTGCCAATTGATAAATGACATTCAGCAAAAAAAAACCCAGCAAAATTAAACATCTGCAATCAGTTGCTCCAGTGATATGAAGTGGAGCAACAGAACAATCTACTCACTGATGTCAATTCTTTGCTGCAGTGACAATGGATTCACCCGAGTCACGAGCTTCGTAAGGCATGTTGCTGCCAGCAGTTGAGCATATGAAGTCTGCAATAAAAAAAATTAAAAGTTATCCACCAACACAAACAGCTAGGCTTTTTCTGCCAGACATTCCAATAATGGCTCTAGGGAAACAGGAACACAGAACATAAATCAAAACAGCAAACATATCAACATATAAATATACAAATGAGGAACAAGAATTGGCCTCAGTCCTTTGAGCTTGCTCTGCTATTCAATAAGATAATTGCTGATTTGATTTCAACTTCAACTTGACATTCCTGCATACCCCTGAAAATCATTTATCCCCTCAGTAATCAAGAATCTATCTATCTACCTCTGTCTTAAATATATTTAAAGATTCTACATCCACTGCCTTTTAAGAAAGGGAATTTCAATTCCACACATTCAATCTGCAGCTTAAAGATATTCAGTACATAGCAGACACATTCAGGTTCTGGTTAGTTACAACATTCAGTGACAAAGTTACTTTCACCGCATTTAATTCTTACTGTGGTACCTTGATAAGTATTATGCTCTAGACTGATTTACCTTCAAACATAAATGATGGGTCAGAGAGGTCAGTGCTAATTTTTACATTTTAATGTGGTTCTGAATGAGATCAGTGAATTACAGACCGGCAATCGAATCCGGACTAACGGTTCAGTGTTATAGCCAAAGATCGGGACAGATCCCTAGATTCATTGCTGAGTAAAATGCTGGCAACATGTGCAGATCTATCAGAAACTGAAACAGGTGGTTAACATTGTATGTAGTGTCTCTTTATCAGAACTTGAAAGCAAGCTTTTCCCACCATATTATTTTGTTTTTAAATTGTGACAAATACTTAACAGGTCTGGAAGTATGTGTGCAGAGACAAACAAAATTAATCATTCAGACCTGCAACTTTTAATTAAAACGTGATAGATTAACAAATCTGACAGAATTAGGATCAGGGTGGTGGTGTTGTATTCTTGTTGTTTGTATACCATGTGTCCTCCCATTAGTGTATTGACAGAAAAAGAACAAAACAATGTGCAACAAAACCTGTGACAGATACAGACCCGGACTTAACCCTGATTCAGCAGAAAAGCAATACAGATAGAATATTGCTTTACACCACACAAGTGAAAAACCAGAGATGTAGGCCTGAATTTCTGTAGAGCTGTGCAGACTAACTTTTAAAACTGTCAAGTGGGATCCAGATGTGGTAGCCATGTCCCCGTTTCCATGGGGAATTCACCTGTCCTGACCCGAAACATTGACTTTGCTGCTTCTCTGATGCTGCCTGACCTGCTATGTTCCTCCAACTACACAATGCATTGACTCTGACTCCAGCATCTGCAGTTCTTGCTACCTCTGAACTGCAGATGCAGGAGATCTGAAACAAAAACAGAAATTGCTAGAGAAATTCATCAAGCCTCGCAGCATCTGTGGAGAGAGTGGAGAGAATGCAGAGTTAATGCTTCCAGTCCAGTGACCCTCCTTCAGAACTCTCAACTGTCTAACTCTGCTTTCTCTCCACTGAATCATAAAATCCCTACCATGTGGAAGCAGGCCATTTGGTTCATCGAGTCCACACCAACCCTCTGAAGAGCATCCCAACCAGATCCACCTCCCAATCCTGTTCCTGCATTTCCCATGGTTAACCCAGCTAGCCTGCACGTCCCTGGACACTATGGGCAATTTAGCATGCCAATCCACCTAACCTGCACATCTTTGTACTGTGGGAGGAAACCAGAACACCCAGAGGAAACCCATGCAGACATGTGGAGAATGCGCAAACTCCACAAAGACAGTCACCCGAGGGTGGAATTGAACCGGAGTCCCTGGCGCTGTGAGGCAGCAGTGCCAACCAGGGAGCCACTGTGCTACCCTTAAAGATGCTGCTAAAGCTGCTGAATTTCTCCAGCAATTTCTGTTTTTGTACTTAAATCCTCAGCTCTCTCAGAAAATAAAGATAAGTCTGCCTAAGTCAGTGGGAGTTGAGATTTGATGCTCACTGACATTTCCTCAAGCCCTTATGAATGCTTGGTTGCTTCCCACCCAGACTCATCCCCCTATGACGCACCTAACCTACACATCCCTGAACACTACAGGATAACTTAGCATGGCCAATCTACCTAGCCTGCGCATCTTTGGACTGTGGGAAGAAACCAGAGCACCCGGAGGAAACCCACGTGGACACATGGAGAATGTGCAAACTCCACACAGACAGTTGCCTGAGGGTGGAATCAAACTCGGGTCCCTGGTGCTGCAAAGCAGCAGTGCTGACCACTGCGCCACTGTGTCGTCGTCGTCGCCGCGCACCCCCCCCACCCCCATTTAATGACCTTTCCTTTATTTAATCTCAACATCACGTCTAAGATCTACTCCTGGTAAATACTGGGTGAGTTGGCATGTATGGTACAAGGGTCACGGATTGATTGGCATTAAGTTGGCCTGGATGTTACAAAGGGAACGAGTGGGACATGGGTTGGTATTATGTTAGCATGGGACATGGATGTGGCATTAGGAGTATAGTGAGCGGATGATGGACTTTGAGGAGTGAGGGCTAGAGTGCTGAAAGTTTAACAAAACAACTAGGACCAAGTCTTTTAATCAGACAGCCTCAGCACTCAGATACCTCTTTTACCTCCAATCTGTATTGGGCTGCTGGGCACAATTCTATCCTGCAATCATCTCTCCAGAGCAACAATTATACCATTGGACATGAACTGGACATTACGCAAGCTGTTCAGCTGCACCACTAAACTGCTTCCTGAGAAACTTACCACAGGAGAAAGCCGAAGAATTTTCGTAAAATGGCGCAAACTCTTACAATGCTAAATATAGGTGCAAATTACTGCAGCTGCTGGAATCTGTACTGAAAACAACAAATGCTGGAGATCACAGTGGGTCAGGCAGCATCCATGAAGAGACAAAGAGTCTGGACTCAAAGTGTTAGTTTGCTGTCTTTTCAAGGATGCTGCCGACCTGCTGTGATCTCTAGCATTTGTTGTTTTCACTTACAATGCTAACTTTGAAATAAACTTTGCCCCTGAATTTCAACTGATTTTAAATATCAAGAGGTCTGACTTCTCGTGCTACTCAGCCATGGTACACACACATATGCACACATACAGAAACAGAGACCTAAATCCAGCTGTATTAGCAGCCCGAAGTCAATGAATTAAGTCAAATACATCCCAACGAGGGAAATCCAATTCTGTCCAAGATTGCCTTGATCTGCTACGATTCGCACACCATCACAATAGGTCCACAGCAGACGCCATCTCCCTACACTCATCCCTGGAACTTCTAGATTACAAGGATATCAACATCAGACTCCTAATTATCAACTTTGAGCTCTGCCTTCAACACCATAATTCCAACAAAACTCATTCCAAACTCCGAGACCTAGAACTCTGCTCCCGTGCCCCTGCAACCAGATCCTCAACTTCCTCACCTGCAGATCACAATCAGTAAGGATAAGCAATAACACCTTCCCCACAATAATCCTCAACACCTATACCCAGCAAGGCTGCATACTCAGCCCCTTTACTATACTCCTTATACACTCACAACTGTGTGGCCAAATTCAGCTCAACTTCATTCACAAATTTGCTGATGATACCACTGTAGTACGTTTGATCTCAAACAAAAAGGAGACAGAGTACAGGAAGGAAATAGACAGCTTAGTGACATAGTGTAAAGACAACAATCTCTCCCTCAATGTCAGCAAAGTGAAGCAGCTGGTCATCAACTTCAGAAAGCGAAGTGGAGGACATGCCCGTCTGTATCAATGATGCAGAGGTGGAGGTGGTCCAGAGTTTCAAGTTCCCAGGAGTAAATATTGTCAACAATCTATCCTGGTCCATCTACATCAATGCTACAGTCATGAAAATACACCAATACCTCTACTTCCTCAGAAGGCTAAGGAGATTTGGCATTTCCACAATGATTCTTACCAATTCTTATAGATGCACCAGAGAAACCATCCTTTTCAGATGCATCACAGCTTGGTATGGCAGCTGCTCTGTCCAAGACCTCAAGAAATTAGAGTTGTAAATGCAGCCCAATCCATCACGAAAACCAGCCTTCCTTCCACTGACTTTGTCCACACTTCCCATTGCCTCTAGAAAGCAGCCAACATAATCAAAGATCCTTCCTACCCCAGTTATACTTTCTTCCACCCTCTCCATTGGGCAGAAAATACAAAAGTTTGAAAACATATACCAACAGATTTAAGAACAGTTTATTTTCCACTGTTATTAGACTTCTGAATGGACCTCACTTTTAGAGTTGATCTTCCTCTGCACCTTCTCTGTAGCTGTAACACTAGATTCTGCATTCTCTTCTATTACCGTGATGTACTTCTGTAAGGTATGATTTATCTGGTTATCATGCAAAACAATACTATTCACTGCATCTCGGTACATGCAACAATAATAAATCAAATTAAATGAAATCAAAGCAGTCAGGGCTGCTGAAGAGGCAGTTTGCTGTTCATGTACAATAGCTAACAGCCAGTCAGCCAGCCCAAAGGGATCTCTGTAAAGAAATTCCTCTCTCAGCCATCTAGTTTTGTTGCCCGTTTCACTCAGATCCTCCAGGTAAGTCACTACCCAAGCATGCATCAGGTTAATGTGTTCACCCATATTTACATGGTCTGTCAAGGAATAAACACTCAGCCTCCTAGCTCAAATCACTAGAGAATCCCTGGGCAATGAGACCTGGCATTTTGTTCCTCTAGCCTTATTGTTCCTGTACCTTAAAGCTGAGATTTTATTTCATAAAGGGAAACAGAAACAAAATCTTCTCCAAAATGTAACGCTATACAGCCTGTTAATTTATTGGGTGATTCATAAAATCGCAACTTTCCATCACATGTTCTTCAATCCAGGGAAGCTGGAAGAAGAAATTAAGGGAAGCCTGACACCATCCTACTCACTAACAGTAAGGTATGATGTAATTTCCCAAATTCCACTATTACCATCCTGGATATGTTCAGCCAAAACAACACAGCAAACACACGAGAGGTCATAACACTGATGTATATTGTATGG